GCTACTTGGCTGAATTTGTTTATTAGCACTCTCAGTCTTCTGGTAGAACTTTTTGGATTTCCTAAAATAGGATCATATCATCTGCAAACAGGGATAATTTGACTTCTTTCTTTCTTATTTTAGCAATTTCATTTCAATGACCCTATTCTGAAGTATCATCATAGATGAGTTTTTTAAAAAATAGTGTACACAGATGGTCATTGAGTATAACTATAACATTATAATTACATTTAGCACCATTGTAATCATGTCGCCTGCCTGGAAACACCTCAAATGTCCACCAATAGGAGACTGCTTTAAAAAATTATGTATAGGTATACATTTAATAGGAGTGAAGTTTTGGAAATAGAGATATATAGAGAAAGAGATAAAATAACAGTATAGGCTAGTGTCTACATTTCTAAAAATCCAGTAGACTAGATATTAAAATGCTAATAATGGAGATCTCTGGGGTGTGAAATACTGAGGTGCTTCATTTTCTACACGCCGTATTTCTGTAGTATTTTCATTTTTGAAATATTTATTTTAGTTGTAAATGGACCTTTGCTTTATTTAAACGTAGGGCTGAGACTCAAACCCAGGGCCTCACACATGCTAGGCAAGTGATCTCCCACTGAGCCACAACCCCAGCCCCAGGTAGTATTTACGTTTTAAATCCCAAGAGTATTGCTGCCGTGAGCAGAAAACAGGATTTTTAAAGTGAGGGAAAATAAGAAGAATGGAAGGAAGGACTGAGCAGATATTTGGGGGGTCACTAGCATAGGACCCCCACCCCTTGAGACATTTGGGTAACTCACCTATCTCAGGTGTCCCATCACAGCATCTGTAAAAGGCCTTCTGACCTGGGGGATGCTGCGGCTGTGCTACCAAAGGGCCCATGAGGACAGTGCCTACGCCTGGCTCTCACCCCAAAGGAACCCAAAGAGGCCTGAGGTGGGACTTAGTTTTCTGACACCCGAGATTGAGTCATGAATATGTGAAGCAATAAATGGGGAAGGACACTGGGCTTCTCAGGAAACCCCTGGAATTGAACAAATAAGCCAAAGGATGGACTAACACCAAGGGGACTCTGGGGATCTGAGCGGGAGTTTGCAGACCATCTCCCTACAGCTGCTCCCTTGGGAGTTCTGACACTCCCAGCTCTGGGGCTCTTAGATCAAGTGCCAAACCCCTGAGAAGGAGAATCTGATTGGCCAGCTGGGGGAGCCACAGGGAAAGGTGTGTGGCAGAGGCACCTAGTACAGACAGGCCCCAGAGCCCTCCCAGGGAGGTGGTGACCTCTGGAGGTGGTACAAGTTACCTCTGGAGAAGCAGCTTGTACTAGTGTCTTGGGGCTGCCACAGCACAGTACCACAGCCCAGGTGGCTTAAAGAGTGGAAGCTTAGTCTCTCACAGTTCAAGACCAAGGTGTGGCAGAGCTAGTTCTTTCTGAGGGCTCCAAGGGAGGATCTGTTCCGTGCCCCTCTCCTAGCTCTAATGGTTTGTTGACAATCTTTGGCGTTTCTTGGCTTATGGAGGCACATCCCAATCTCTGCCTCCATGTCTGCCTGGCATTTTCCCTGTGCAAGTTCCTCCATGTGCAAAGCACTTCTTTTTATGTCAATACCAGCCATGGATTTGGGGCCCACTCTACTCCAATATGACCTCATTTCAACTAAGTACATCTGCAATGACCCTATTTGCAAGTAAAGGCACATTCTGAGGGACAGGGAGTGAGGACTTCAATATAGGAATTTGCTGGAATCAGGGGAGGACATCATTCAGCTCACACCATTAATGTTACAGCTTAACTCAGTTGAAAGTTCTGGGCTTGGGAATCACTGACTCGGGGTCAATGAGAAACCTCTGGCAGCCAACTTTAGGAAGAACCAAGGGGATGGAAGCAAAACCAGGAAAGTGTGGTGTTAAGAAAGCCACAAATGAGCCGGGGTTCAAACAGGAGAAATTACACAGAAAGCATCAAAGAGCTTCTGCTAGATTTTGCGGTGCTCTTTGCAAGGAGGATTTTGACTAGGAGGTGTTTAAGGTGTGCTTGGGACATGATGGAAACAGAGAGAAGGGGACAAGCGGACAGTCTCTTGTTTAAAATGTTGGTTGTAACAAGGAAGAAACAGGTAGGGTCTCAGCTGGAGGAGGACACTGGGTCCCAGGAGGCATTTAAAATTTGAGCCTGTTTGSAGTTGGGATGTAGCTCAGTGGTAGTGTTCTCCTAGCATGTGTGCATGCTTGAGGCCTCAGGTTATATGCTCAGTATAGATGGTGATGGTTGGGTGTGGTGAGGCAAGAGGATGTAAGTTTGAGGCCAACCTTAGTGACTCAACAAGACCCGGTCTCAAAATAAAAAGGGCTGGTGAGGTAGCTCAGTAGCAAAGCAGTCCTGGTTCAATCCCTAGTGCTGAAAAGGAAGGAAGGAAGGAAGGAAGGAAGGAAGGAAGGAAGGAAGGAAGGAAGGAAGGAAGGAAGGAAGGAAGGAAAAGAGAAGGGAGAGGAGAGCAGAGCAGAGGAGGAAGGGAAAGGAAAGGAAAGACATGGCACAAGCTCCCAAGAAGGTGCAATGGCTGTCTATCACATGCCAGGCACAGAATAGGTGCTCAATAAATATTTGTGAAATAGAGGCATAACTGCGGGCAGGCCGGGATGCAATCCAGAAAACAGGCAGAGGGACTGGCCAGAGCCTCATACTGAGTCCACTCAGTATGGCTGCCAGCTTTATGGCCACTTCCTGACCGCTCAGGACCACGACTGACACTCCACAGGCACTGCCCACAGTTCAAATTCAGGACAGAATTTAAGATGCTCCTTGGGACCTCTGAGTCAGAAGCTGAGTTCTGGTTGGCTGTGACCAGGGGAATCAGGTCTTGGGGCATCTTCCATGGGATCATGGGAGCATGCAAGAAAGGGACACAGACTGTACTTTTCACACTGACTTTCTCTGACTCAGAATACCTGGGAGCTAAGTCCTTGACTTTACAAATTGATACTCATCATCTCAAGAGGGTATTTCAGTACAAAATCACAGTCGGGATGTTTATCTGTCAGCCCTGGAAGGCACCCAAAATGAACAAGTGGTTAACTCTCAAACTGGACGGTAGTTTTTGCTAAGGTGAAATAGAAGGAAGGACAGAGAACTTTTCTTTATGTTGCATGGACTTTATATGGTTTTTTAAAATATTTTTTTTAGTTATAGGTGGACACAATATCTTTATTTTATTTTATTTATTTTTAATTTTTAATATTTATTTTTTCAGTTTTCAGCAGACACAACATCTTTGTTTGGTATGTGGTGCTGAGGATCGAACCCCGGACGYACGCATGCCAGGCGAGTGCCCTACCGCTTGAGCCACATCCCCARCCCTCTTTATTTTATTTTTATGTGGTGCTGGGGATCCAACCCAGTGTGAGCGCTCTACCTCTGAGTCACAACTCCAGCCCCTTGTTTTGATTAGTTTTTGTTTTTATAATAAACTTTATTTATTTTTTATAATAAACCATAAATAACTTATAGTATACAATCTTCTTAAAAACTAAATTTTAACTTAAGAATATCCATAAATATTTTCATTTTGGAGAAAGTGGAAACATTATCAGTGAGTTTCTAGTCTCCTCCCCTACCCTCCCCAGTCCCCAAACAATCTACAATAAAATCCACTATTTATCAGTTTGGTATGAAGCATTCCACACTTTTTTAAATGCATATATGTAACATCCACATCAAATACACAGTCTTGGCATTTAAAGGAATTAAATATGTTTTCATATGGCACTTGTGCTAGACTTCTCTCCATTATTTTTCTCATGGAGCCTACATCCTTAAGAGTAGCTTTTTTTTGAAATATATTTTTAGTTGTAGTTGGACACATATCTTTATTTTATTTATTTATTTTTATGTGGTGCTGAGGATCGAACCCAGGGCCCCACACGTGCTAGGCAAGCGCTCTACCACTAAATCTCAGCCCCAGTTTCCCTGAAGAGTAGTTCTAACTCCTCCCCCCCCCCTTTTTTTTTTTTGGTACGGGGACTGTATCACTAAGCTACGTGCCCAGCAATTGTTTTCCAGGTATTGGCAATTTAACTGAGCCGCGTGGGGGGTGGGGGCCCTTAACCAACTGAGCCACATCCCCAGCCCTTTTTATATTTTATTTAGAGACAGGGTCTCACTAAATTGCTTAGGACCTCGCTAAATTGCTGAAGCTGGCTTTGAATTCTGATCCTCCTGCCTCAGCCTCCTGAATCACTGGGATTAAAGGCCTGAGCCAAGTGCACAGGGCACTTTAACACTACTCCCTTAAATTCTAATCCCCTTCCCTCAAAGTCTCTAGAACAGAGACTCAACACTTGGAACATATTTATACTGAAAACTACCCCTTGTTTATCTGAAATTCAAATTTAACTGAGTGGCCTGTATTTTGTCTGCTAACCTTGAGACTTGGACTTTTGTTAAAAATACCAGAGGTCTCATCAGTAGGCATGATTCAGTAGGTCTGGAAGCCGCCAAGCCCAAACTCTGGTTTCTGTTGGTGGTGCTGGGAATCAAACCATGGGCCTCGCAGAGGCTAGACAAGTGCCCTATTACTGAGCTACATCCCCAGCCTCCAAGCCTGTATTTTTAAAACCTGATTCTGATCAATCTGCCCCACCAAGCTGGTGGGTGCTGTTCGTGCTTGGCCAAGCCTCTAGAGCTGCTGTGTCCCCACTGCAGCCTGAGGGAATGCACTCCAGGGTGGTGCCCTTTCCTCCCCTACATTGTGGGGGCAACGAGTGGCTTTCTGCCACTTTTCCGCAGGCCACCCATTTTCCCTTGGACTCACGGATTTTTCAGAATTCTCAGGATCCAGATGGGCTAATCATTCCCCGCCCAAGCTGTAACTTTCAAAATCTAACGGGGGCAGAGGGCGGGAGGGGGAAATGGGTGGAGCAAGAGACAAAGAAAGTGGAGGGATCCGGCGGGGCGCAGGGTTCCCTCCCAGACGCCTCAGGCTCTTTCTTTTGCTTTTCTCCAGAGAAAGATCCACTCTGCCCCGCGGCCCCGCCCTGCCGCTCCCGCCCGTGACCTAAACTGCTAAGGCGGGGTGCTGTCCCGCAGGAGCGCGGCCCACAGAACTCAATCACAGCCAATCACAGCGAGGTCCTTAGAGAGGGGCGTGGCTCGACAACTTCAGCTCCCGACTGGACCAATCCCGACCCCGGAGGCCAGAGCTGTTTCTACCTGGGCCCAGGTGCGGTCCGCTCTGCATCTCCCGGTGGCTCGAGTTCAGGATGGACTGTACGCAGGAGGCCTCGGGAGGAGGCCAAGCCGAGGCTGGCTTCCCAAAGGAGCCCTTGGAAAGCCAGATCCCCGGGCCAGCTCAGCCGCACGTCCCCGCGGAGGCGCAACAGCCTGAGAGTCCCGAAAGCAGCCCGAGCCTGGCCCGGGTCGTGAAGGAGGCAGCGGGCGCGGGCCCGGACCTTCCAGATGAGAAGAAGCTGCCTCCCCCTCGCCCCGGGCTCCTGAGGGTACCGCCACTCAGCCTGGGTTACGGGGCCTTCCGCCGCCTGGGGTCAGCCAGCCGCGAGCCGCCGTCGCCTGGCCCCTCCTCGGCCGAAGAGCCCCGGGAGGGCGAAGCAACTGGATGCGAGTTGGTGCCCTGGTCCACCCCTGGTGAGCAAGCGCCCGGCCCTTGGGCGCCCATGGAACTGCAGGTGGACGTGCGCGTGAAGCCCGTGGGCGCGGCCACCGGCAGTCGCGCGCCCTCGCCCGCGCCCTCCACGCGCTTCCTCACGGTGCCGGTACCGGAGTCCCCGGCCTTCTCCCGCCGCTCTTGCACCCTGCAGCGAGCTCCGTCTCCGGGCGTCACCTTAGGCCGCTGCTCGCCGCTGGCTGCTACCCAGACCGAGCGTGACCACCACGTGGAGCGCCAGGACAGCCAGGCCGAAGGGCGCCCGGGCTCTCCAACGTGTCGCTGCCGCTGCCAGGAGCAAGGACTGGGAAAGGAGGACGCGGCGCTGCTGCAGCGTGCTGGGATGGACGGTAAAAAACTACCCCGGGCGATCACACTCATAGGTAAGTGCTCACTGGCGCCAGGAGTCGGCGCTGCCGGGTCGGGGTAGGTGAGGCGCGCGCGCACCAGAACACTGCAGTGGAGGGACTGGTGCCCCCGAAGGCTGTCCTGATGCCGCGACCCCATCTGGTCTCTCTGCCTTCGAGTTAATAACTTTTGGTCTACCTAAATGTAATTCAAAGTGTTTGCGATAAAAGAATAAAACCACTACCCCTCCCCACCCACAAAGAACTTTCGCATTCCTTCTGAGTGTGCGCATCATCTTCCAGGAGAGGTATAAAGAATTCCGAATGAGGGGAAGTGATGCAGGATCACGTGGCGGTGGTGGCCAGGGCAGGAACACAGGCTCCAGCCGGATCAGAGCCCACAACCCTGCCATGGACGGACCTTTCCAAGGTCCGGGCTCCTTCCTCTCCGTTATATTGCGGAGCGTGGGCCTCCACTTATCCATTCAGCACATACTAAGTGGAGACCACGAGTATATGCTAGGGTGTATATGCCTGTGTGTTTTTGTTTATGGAGGTGTGGAGCGCTTGGCACAAAAATGGGGAGAGCCCAGAAATGATGTAAACAACCCTGGATAAGGAACCGGTCGGGGAGTGGTTGGTGAACTTGGCCGGGCCAAGCTTGCTGAAGTAGTTATCTTGAGGACTTGAGATGGGAAGGGCTCCTTCTAGGGCCAGATCTGCAGGAACAGAAGCCAGGAGGGGTTAGAGCCCTGCCCAGCAGGCAACCTGCCTGAAGCACCAGAGACGTGATATGGAAAGGTAGGAGGAGGCAGGAGATGTGATATGGAAAGATAGGTGGAGTCAGGCACCAAATCCCAAGGGGTTCCCCGGTCTCAAATATGAGGAGGGTTCCAGACTTGGTTCACTCCGGAACTTTTGCAGCCTTTGGTCTGAGCACATTTTCTACATGATGGACTATTAGTTTTCTGTTACTATTGTAACACATTTCCACACACTTAGTGACTTTAAAGGATACATGCTTATTTGCTTACACTTGAACCTGGGAAGTCTGATGCAGTCAAGATGCTGGCAGTGGCGCGGCCATGTTCCTTTCTGGGGGCTCCAGGGGAGATTTCCTTTCCTTGCTTTTTACAGTTTCTAGGGGCCAGCCTGTCCTTAGCTCATGGCCCTCTCTGTATTCAAATTCAGCAGTGTTAGGCCGAATCCTTCTCCGGTTGCCACCTCTCTGACTCTCACATTCTTCTGCCTCCCTCTTCGTGTATAAGGACCCTTGTGATCACATTGGGCTCACCCAGATGATCCAACACAATCTCCCTTTCTCAAGGTTGGCTGATGAGCGACCTTGATTTCCCTTTGTCGTGTAACCCTAAGTATTCACAGGTTCCAGGGATTAGGACATGGACATCTTTGGGAAGACAGTATTGTGTCTACAATGATATCAGTCTATACTTTCTTTCAGATTCTTAAAAAAAAGCCATGACTAGGAAGGGTAGCCTGAGAGGGAAGAGCCAGTGAGGCAAGGTGACATGGTCTTGTTTTTTGTYCTAGAAAAAGGGCTCTGACAGGGTTAGGGATGTACAAGGCCCTGGGTTCCATACCCAGTTATCCACACCCCTCCCAACACACACACACACAGAGAGAGAGAGAAAGTGAGCTCTGATAGCGTTGTGGAGGAAGGCTGGGGCAGGGATGAGATTGGGTGGGGCACTTAGAAGGCAATAGCAGTGGTTCAACTGGAGATGATGAGGCTTGATCTATGGCAGAGGCAAGAGGGAGAGCTCATGAGGCAGAATTCATGGGCTGGACCCGTGATCAGATGAAGGTAAGCTTACCGGGTGAGTGGAGATGTCAGCCCTGTTTCTGACTTGGGTAACTGGGTAATGGATTGTGTATCCATCCACAGTGGAGAACACCAGAAGAGGTGTTGTTGGAGAAATAAATGAGAAAATGGCTTCGGGACCTCCCAATAGAGGTGTCATTTAAAGGAAGAGGAAAAGGAGCTGGCCACCGAGACAGGGGCGTGGGGGGCTGTAGAAGGGAAATCAGGAGACACAGAGAAAAGGGGGAGTTTACGGAAAGTGTGGCCAGTGGTGTCAAGTGTGCACTGAGGCTTCAGGGAAGAGGCAGTTCTGGGGCTGATTAGGGAAAGTTACCAGAAACAGTGATCACTTGACGTCACCAGAGGGTATGAAGCAGAGTGGGTGGCAGGCTCAGATGCCAGGCAGAACCTATTGCCAGGTGGATGCCATCCTTGGTGCTTTGGTTTTGTTTTCTGGGAAATGGGGAGTTAAAGAACTGAGGCTTGGTGTGCAGGATTCTTCTCGGATGAGGAGCTCTGCTGAGTGGTCTCTGCCTGTGGGACCAGGCTGGTCACCTCAACAAGAAGGGAAAACGTAGGTGACTTACCCAAGCCAGCATGATGATGCCCCAACCCAGCTGCTGCTCATTTCCTCGTGAACTTAGAGGAAAGAGTCACCCTTGAGAGCGTCGGGGATGTCACTACTTGGTCTCATCCCTCGCTTATATGGGTAGGTGTCCCCAAAGAACTGTACAGGTGTAAGTAGAGGCACCATACACAGTGTTCTGATTGGCGGCTCCCAGCCTGCAGGCATCAGGCAGGAGAGAGGAGAGTTTGCAAAGCTTAAAAGTGAAGAAAGGGCTGRGGCTAGGGCTCAGTGGCAGAGCGCTTGCCTAACACGTGTGAGGCACTGGCTGGATTCTCAGCACTGCTTATAAATAAATGAATATAATAAAGGTTCATCAACATGTAAAAAAATATTTTTTTAAAAAAAGCGAAAAAAGAGCTAGATTTTTCAGATGAAGAATATTCTTCCTTCTTGGTTTGGAGTCACCTTCTATGATCCGGAGGCCAGCTTAGGTGTCCCTGTCACATACTTTCATTGTCCTTGCGCTTCCCAACAGCAGCATTCTTCACTCAGCTTAAGGTTGCCTCCTTGTAAATGTCCCTGCCGCGGGGGCAGGGAAGGTGGCAGACACCCTGGATCCCCACTCCTGGCACCGGGGTCTGCTGCGAGCCTCAGTCCATGGAGGAACTTCTTAGTCCCTAGCTCTCTGGAGAAAGAGGAGAGGGAGTCTGATCTCAGTGGCTGTCGTGGGTTGGCACACCAAGGTTTGGAGGAGGACGTGAAGGCCCCCTCTCAGGAGTCCCCGTCCAGGCAAAGGGAAAACATTCAGAGAGCAAAAGCACAGGCAGCCTGGAGTAGCCTCGAGGGGTAGGGACTGTCGGGAGCAGAGGCAGCAGGGMTGAGGGGTCTTCTAGAGAAGAGAGCAGCACAGGAACTCAGTGGTGATGGAGGTAGGAAGCAAGAACTTGCTCTGTCTTCAGTGCCTGGAGGAAAGCGAGACAGGAAGACCTTGATGTCCCCAGGTGGAGAGAGGCAGAAGTTTACCCAACGTCCATGACACAAAAGCAGGCATCTCACTGCCATGAGCCCCTGGGGCCCCTTAGTATTTGGAAGTTTGTATAATTTTTTTAAAGATGGCCCCCAGCTGGGCCTGGTGGCTCACACCTGTAATCCCAGTGACTTGTGAGGCTGATACAGGAGGATCGAAAGTTCGAGACCAGCCTTAGCAACTTAGCAAGACCCTGTGTCAAAATGAAAAATAAAAAGGGCTGGAGATATGGCTCAGTGGTCAAGCACCCCTGGGTTCAATCCCCAGTACCAAAAAAAGAAGAAAAGAAAAGCAACGAAGATGGCCCCAAACTGAATAAACTTGAGGTTCCATAAGACCCGGATCCCCCAGTCTAGGTATTTTACTAGGTGGAAGTGCTTGTTGTAGTCAAAACATAGGAGATGCAGGTAGGAACAGTGGGAAAGGATGCAGAGGTGTTAGTTCTGAATTGACAAGGAAATCAAGATCAATTGGAAACTAGAGAATGGCCTGGGGGAAGGTGCCAGAGAGCAAGAGGCACACATGGTTACAGTCATATTATTACTATCCTCTCATAGGAATGTCCCTTGGCCATCGGGAAGTGTTGGCTGGAAGCAAACAATTAGATTTAAAACCAAGAAGTTCCAGGATTAGAGGGGGGGAAAAAAAAACAGTTCAAGAGCTTTTATCTTCATCTGTGTTTTCAGTTTTTTTTGCAAAGAGGGTAATTTTTGTTACTTTGTGATTAAGAGTTTCTTTCTGAAGAGGGTGGGGACTACCCTTTGGCYCTGCAGGGGGCAGCTTGGAATGAAGTATGTAGCAGTAATTCACTTGCAGGTCAGCATGGGAAAACAAAGAAGAAGAAGAAGCAGAGCAAGCAAAGCAGCAGCAGAAAAAAAGTCCTTTATTGTGTACAAGCAATCTTTTTATAGTATTGTGAACAAAAAAGGCAGCCTTCCAACTTCAATAAATCAGGTCTTTCAGCTAATTAAACATAGCACATAGAAGTTTTACTTTYTAATCAGAAGTKACCCRCTTCTCATGGCTAATCTACTCTCGGCCTGGAGTATGCTGAGCTCTGCTCTTTGTTTAGAACAGATAAAAAAAATTTTCTCAGCGCCCTCCTAGCCCACTTGGCAGAATATCCCGTTTGCAGGCAAGTTCTCCCAAGGTCAGCAGACAGCTCGTTTTCAAGCATGTCTGTTGTTACCTATCTAAACCTTGAAGAAGCCTCTCGTTTGCGAGCAGACTCTCCCAGGGACAGCAAACATCTYGTTTTCAAGCATGTCCGCTGTTACTTATCTATACCTTGACAGACTATCCCGTTTGCAGGCAGACTCCATCAAGGACAGTAATAGTAACACAGTCACATCTGATTCTCTACAAAGTAGGTCCTCCTTCCTGGTGTGGGAGGCTGAATTTCTTTACATCTTTGTTTCCTACAAAGGTCAGAGCTAAATGTAGTGTTCAGCCACAATAATTATTACCTAGGTGATGGGTAGATTTATTTTCCTTGTCTTCTCCAAGCTTTTTAGTTCTGCTTTTATTATTTTAAGACTCCCTTTTTGTATGTAGCTTTTATACCAAGCATTTCCAGATTCTTCCTTGTTTAGGTAAGAGCTTTATTGAGATATAATTCATATGCCATAAAATTCACCAATCTGAAGTTCAATAGTTTGTAGTATATTCTCAAAATTGTGCAACTATCACCACTGTCGATTTTAGAACATTTTCATCATCCCCCAAAAAACTGTACCCTTCAGCCATCACCCCATACACCAGCCACCAATCTTTTTATCTGAACCTTCTGTCTGGAACATATCAATGGACTCATATAGTATGTATTATTTGGTATCTGGATTATTTCCCTTAATGTTTTCAAGGTTTATCCATGTTGTAGCAAGTATAAGTTCTTGATTTCTTTTTAGGGCTGAATAATATTCTATGATATGGCATACCATGTCTTTTTTATCCATTGATATATTGATGGAAATGTGGGTTAAATCCCATAAAGAAGCAAATTGTATGTGTAGCTTTTTGTTGTTTTAAATGCAGGACTAAAGGTGTGGCTCAGTGGTAGAGTGCATATTTAGCATGCTTAAGGCTCTGGGTTCAATTTCCAGCATAAAAAAGGGAGAAAAAAATCCCTTGGGTGCAGTGGTACACACCTATAATCCCAGTGGCTGTAGTAGGAGGATCTCAGATTCAAAGCCATCCTCAGCAATTTAATGTGACCCTGTCTCAAAATAAAAGGGCTGAGGGTGTAGCTCAGTGGTTAAGCCCTCCCTGGGTTCAATCTCCAGTACAAAAAAGAAACAAGGTTGCAGGTGGATGTTAAATTTTCACATATCAACATAATACACTTCCTTTTCTGATTTTTGAAGCAGGTATTTTTTTCCAAAGCAAATGAAAACATATAGGGATTTCAAAGTGCTTCTGTCTGTAAAGATGAATAATGATTTATTAAATATCTTGGAAATGTGTCCATCTCTGTGTAGGTATGTGTACATGTGGGAATGAAACATGCTAATACACATGTGGTGTTGTTCTGATGCAGTTAGTCTTTTCAAAATGGTAAAATACCACTGCAGAATTACCTCCGCTCTTTCCAGGCTTTGGGAAGTGTGATGGTTGCTGGTCCTCCTTGCCGAGGTTTGAGTGACTCCTGGGGCCCTTGCAGCAGAGGCTCTGGGAGAGGAGACTGCTCTTCTTGCTTGATGTCAAGCTGTGTCCTCAGAGAGATCAAATTCAGGAATGCTCAGTTGGGGTGTGAACCTCCAGATCCGGGGCTGTGATGAAGTGTTTGCAATCATGCCTCTTTTCTTGTACTCTGCAAGTTCCCTGCGCTGGCTTCCCCAGTTWCTCCTTTAACAGGGCGAGGCCTGGCACTAGGAAGCATGCTGTTCCTCTGCTGCTCCGCGCCGTTGCCTGCTCTCCCCACCTGGTGTGCCCTCCATTCCTGCAGCCCTGCCCCAGCCCTCTGATCCGCTTGTCCTGGAGCCGCAGGCCCTATGTGCTGAGACCATAGGATTTGGGTGAACTCCAGCCAGCGGAGCCCTTGTTCCTCTCAGCGGGCAGTGTGCCCTGGGTACCTGTTAGGCCCACTAGGTGTAGGGCTTTGCATCTTTCTCCCAAATGACCTAGCTTGAATTTGGGCCCAGGAGGCCATGACACTGGTGCAAGGAGTTGGCAGGGTTCTGGGTGGGCCTTGTCTGGGTGGTCTCTTGTCACATCTCCCTTCTGCCTGTCCCCACCCCCAGGGCTGCCCATGTACATGAAATCTCTGCGCTGGGCCCTGGCAGTCATGGCTGTGCTCCTGGCAGTCTCCACGGTGACCATTGTGGCCTTGGCCTCTAGAGCAGGTACGGTGTCCCTGCTCCCCTCTGCTCCTCCACCGGGGCGGCCTCCAGCCCTTATAATTAGGATGAGATGTCCCACGGGGGGTGGGCGGGGTGTAGCATGAAGACATGGGCTTGTTGAGCACAGATAAGAAAAATATTCTGTCTTCTCACTGGACACGGCTTGTACCCTGCTGAGTCCATCTGGGGAGACTGTGTGCCTTCTTGGTCCTGGCTCACCTCCCCTTGCCAGCCCAGGGTTTACCAGCTCCAGCCCCTAGACTCTCCCCTCTGTCAAGGTCATGGCCAGGTCTTCTCAGTGTACACATTTTAATTCTTTATAGTTACCCCAGGACTCACCAGGGTCTCTGTGCTTGCAGGAGCCAGGTGCCGGCCATGCCCTCAGGACTGGATATGGTCCAGGGAGCACTGTTACTACCTCTCTTCAGAAGCACAGGACTGGGAGGCCAGCCAGGCGTTCTGCTTGGCCCACCATGCTACCCTGCCCCTGCTGAGCCACACCCAGGTGAGACAGGTGACCAGAAGAGGAATGTGCATGTCATCCAAGATCCCAGAATCCTAGCACTGGAAAGAATCTCTAGATGGGGTCCTTCTACATCCTAGAAGTCACCAAGAGCCACAGGAATAGGAATGTTTGCAGGGGACCAAACATCAGGTCTCCAAGGGCTTCATCTAGGAGCTGGGATATCCCCAACCACCCTGCCTGTCAGTCCCAAAGTTACCAGTGTGCTCGGGAGCCAGGCCTGGTGGTAGAGACGCACCTGTCCTCTCTGGGAGGTGGTATGGAAAATAAAGTGCAATTTAACAGGTGTACTAGTCAGGTATACCTAGAATAGGGCTCAGTAACAAATCACCCCCAAACTCTTCAATTTCAACAACTTCTAACAACAAGCATTTATTTCTTTTTTAAATATTTTTTTTTTAGTTGTCGATGGATCTTTTTTATTTATTTATATGCAATGCTGAGAATCGAACCCAGTGCCTCACACATGCTAGGCAAGCGCTCTACCACTGAGCTACCACCCCAGCCCAGCATTTATTTCTGGATGGCTGGTCAGTGGATGGTCCTTCAAATGTTCCTGTTTTTATGGTGTTCTCTTCCTGTTTCATGGATGCAATATCTTGTCTTCTTGTGGATCTTTTTTTTTTTTTTTTGGTACCAGGGCACTTAACCACCAAGTCACATCCTCAGCGCTTTTTGATATTTTGTTCAGAGACAGGGTCTTGCTGAGTTGTTTATGGGACACAACAGGCTCTCAGGGGTCCCCACAGCTGCAGGCTAAACGGCTCATCTTCCCTAAGAACTGACTGTCCCCAGAGTTAGAAAAAAGGAGAAAATTCAGTGCTGCCTGTGCCATTCAGCTCACTCCCCTGTGGCTTGACGGCAGGCGTTTTGCAGGGTGCGGGGAGGGAGGAGCCACGTTAACAGTGACACTGAATGGAAGCCACGTCTGGATTTTCAGAAAGATTAAACCGTGCATAGATACTCATCTTAGAATTAAGGAAATTCAGTCAGGCGCAGTGGTGCACGCCTGTAATCCCCACAGCTTAGGACGCTGAGGCAGGAGGATCTAGAGTTCAAAGCCAGCCGCAGCAACAGCGAGGCACTAAGCAACTCAGTGAGACCCTGTCTCTAAATAAAAATATAAAATAGGGCTGGGATGTGGCTCAGTGGTTGAGGGACCCTGAGTTCAATCCCTGGTACAAAAAAAAAAAAAAAACTAAGAAAATTCAGTAGTCTGGAATATTTGAATCTTCTCTGTGCACACTATGTAGTGAGCTATAAAGACAGAACGTGAAGGGTGGTGGCTGCCAGGAGCAGGGGAGAAAGCAGACAGAAACTCGGTGTTTCATGGGTACAGAGTTTCGCTTTAGGAAGGTAAGAAAGTTCTGGAGGTGAACGGTGGGGATGGCTGCACAGTCATGTGATTGCACTTAATGCCACTAGACTGTAYATTTAAACAGGATTAAAATGGAGGCCAGGAGAGGGCCCCAGTGGTAGACTGTGTGTAGCATGCACATGCCCCTGGGTACAATCTCCAGCACCACACACACGCACACAGGGTTAAAGTGGTAACTTTCAAGCCGGCACCGTGGCACATGCCTGTAATCCCAGCATTTGGGAGGCCCAGACAGGAGGATCACGAGTTCAAAGCCAGTGAACTAAGCAACTCAGTGAGACCCTGTCTTTTTAAATAAAATACAAAATAGGGCTGGCATGTGGCTCAGTGTTAGAGTGCCCCTGAATTAAATCCCGGGTACAAAAAAAAAAGGTAGCTTTCTTATTATGTGGCATATTTCATTACAAAAATTTAAAAAAGAAATATAAGATAGCATTGCAAATGATTCATCTTCATTTTAGGATGTAAATCATCAGATTTCAAGTCCATTCTGCCCTTTACCACTTTACCCCTCTGTCCACATTCGTGGTAAAATTTGGAGAAGCTGCAGCCTAAGGCCTTGGAAGCCCGGGATCTGCCCGACCTTCGTGAGAGTGCACTTCTTTAAGCCATCAATCACTCACTGGTTCCTGGAATTTATTTTTAACTCCGGACAATGCCTTTCCTGCACCATAACCTCTGCTAACAATGAAAACTGGACTCCGAACTGCAAGGAATAGAGTTGGAGTGGAGTGGGCGGGGACAGCTCCTGTCAACGGGAGGCAAAATGAGGAGGAGCAGGAGAACCAGATGGCTCTGGACTTGGACAAAAAACAAGCCCGTATCCCACATGGGTGAYCCTAAACTTCAAACCAGGTCACATTTGTTGGCAGTGAGGACAAGGTTTTACCCATCACACCACAGGGACAGATTTAGATTTCATGGCTGCAAGGGCATTTAATGAGTATGTACTGTGTGCCATTAGATTTACATGTTCAGCCTCATAATGCAGCCTCCCCGGGTTCACGGAGGACCTTGCTGCTCCGAAAAGCTGGATGCCTTGACACATGACTTACACGTCACGGGACTGCATTTGAGGATGGGGTGTCCTGGTACCAGAGTTCTCCGCACAGTGATGGCCCCAGTCTGAGCGTGGGACAGGCATCAGCCAAGCCCTGATGTGCCTTCCCAGAGGGACACTGTGGGTGGCTGAAGGTGGCAGGTCTGTGACCAGGCAGGGAGAAGCTTTGGGACTGCTTAGCCCCAACTCACACCACAGTACCCTTCTTACCCTCCCCAGGGTTCCCTCCCACAGCCCGGCCCGTGGAATCCAGCAGAGGAGGAGCCTGCTGCTGGGTTTCACCTGGTCTGACCACTCATTGCTCTTGGTCACTCGTGGTCACACGTGGTCTTTGGGGTTGAAGGTCAAGGTTAGAGCCTGGAAGCTGCTGTTGGCTCCTCTCCTGGCTGATAACCCGCTGGTGCTGGCCCTAGGGGGCAGAAGATGGCTCTGCACTGACCCCTGCGGGGCCCATAGTGGTCCAGCCTGAACCTGTGGCCTCTACTGATTGTTGGCAGTTTTGCTGAGCTGGCCTACTGTGTGCTGGGTCTCAGGGTACAACAAGTCCCCYGCTCTCACCAAGCTCAAGTGAGCAAGCCCTTAAAAAGCAGCAGCTCTATTCTGTGAAGGTTATAGGAGGCCGTGGGAGGGAGGATCACCCAGTCACCTTGGAGGGATCAGCCTGGTGTCCTTGTAGGAAGTCATCTTGACCCTGAGACCTGAAGGGTAGGTGAGGCGCATCCAGAGTACAACTGTGGACAACTCAGGTGCTAAAATTAAGTTACACTAGGCCACCTCTAGTCCCTGTCAATGTGAATTTATGCCTCTTGACTTTGCCATCAGCGATATGTATTTGTTGGTATGATCTGATTTATTTATTCATTCATTCATTGACTTACTTTGGGCACTGGGGATTGAACCCAGGAACACTTTACCACTGAGCAACATCCTCAGCCCTTATTATTTTTTTATTTTGAGGCAGGGTCTTGCCAAGTTGCTGAGGCTGGCTTTGAACTTGCAATTCTACCTCAGCTTCCCGACTCACTGAGATGACAGATGCGTGCGACGGCACCTGGCTACTTACTGTTTTTTTGCTTTGTTTTTTTAACAGTGCTAGAGATGGAAACCAGGGCCACCCCGCATGCTAGGGAAGTGCTCTGTGACTGAGCCACACCCTTGGCCCCTGCTTTCCCCCCCCCCCCCCCCCCCAACTAAGCATGATCTCATGTTATCAGTTTAGCACTGTAATTTTCCATCATGTTGATATCTCATAATCTGCCTAGTTGTTTCCTGATTTCTGGGCACTTGAGTCGTTCTTTTTTTTCTCTTTGGTCTAAACAGCACTGTGTTGTCTTTGAATAAGTTCTCTGTCTCCCTTTTTACTCTTGGTTTACTCTTCAAAGTGGAGTCACCCATCTGAGGTACAGGATGGCACTGCTGCTCGGGTTACATGGCACCAAATCATGTCCCAGAAGGAAAACTGGTGTGGGCTGTACCATCATCACTGCCCCCACCCCCAAGTCCTCACCCTGGGACGAACTTTTTTTCTCAGTTAGAAAAACTCATATTCATTTTCTAGAACAAACATCTTTTTTTTTTTTTTGCTTTAATTCACTGTTTAATATGACAACAAACTTAAGGTAAAAAGAAAACTTCATCTCTAGTAACGCTAACACACTGATTTTGGTTTTTGTCATTCTTTGGGTGACTATGTCATGCACACATTTTTTTATTGTTATAGTCATGCCACAGTTTTGATTCTTTTTTTTTTTTTTTTTTTTGCTTTCTGAAAATTTTTCAGGGCTGGGGATAGAACCCAGGGTGCCCTACCACTGAATTATATCCCCAGCCCTTTTTATTGTTTATTATGATCTTGCTAAATTGCTGAGGCTGGCCTCTAATTTGCAATCCTCCTGCTTCAGCCTCCCAAAGACCCTGGAATTACAGGCCTGAGCCACTGTGTCCAGCTGACTCAGCTTTTTCATTTCATGAGCTATACTGCTTTTCTCATGTGGCTCCTTGGCCTTTGTACGCACCTTTGTGTTAAGTGACCACTACTGCCTTGAACCCGTGCAAGGTACTTGCAGCAATCTGCTCCCCGGCCTCCGGTCCTGCTTAGTCAATCGCCAGCCAGAGCCTCAGCCCCGCCAGGCTTTTGCGGTTACCAGGACGTGCTTCAGGGCCTCCCATCCTGACGCAGGTCCTCTCTGAGCAGTTTTGTGCCCATGCTCCTTGCCGAGTGGTGGCTGTGGTTCTCACCCCCTGGAGGGCTGCGACGGGATGGCCCTCATACCCAGCAACCCCAGGCACCCGGTTCCGCTCCGATCATTACCATAATCTCTGCAAGGGATTGACCTGGCTCTCTTCTGCAGAAGCGCCCTGGTAGGCCACGCCCACGTCCAAAGAAGAGTGACAGTGTGCTTTCCTCCCCAGGACTTCCTGAGCAGACACCAGATCACCAAACGCTCCTGGGTGGGGGCCCGGCGAGGCCCCCAGGGCTGGCACTGGACCGATGGGGCCCCCTTGCCAACCCAGCTGTGAGTGACCGCGGGCTTCCTCCCCCTCTGCCGTTGGGGGTCTTCCCATGCCCCAGCCTGCGGTGCCACTAGGGAGACCCCCCATGCCCAGGACCCTGGCATCAGTTTTGTCCCTTTTTCCCCACCCCTCCTGTGGGTCCCCCAGCGYGTTCACCCAAGCAGGACCGTCACTGCCATCTCACAGACAGGAGGTCTACAGCCAGAGCCATTCGGTGTTCACCAGTGCCACACAGCTGACCAACAGGGGACATCCTTGTGTCCTTTCCAGACAGCCCCCTGCCTCTGTGCAGTGACCTACACAGTATCTGGGTCCATGGAGGGACTGGGCCCGCAGCTGGGTGGGCCCATGCCAGCCAGGAGGCCTGACGTCCTGAGCGTCTCCCGCTTTCCCCTCTCGCCCTTCCCAGACTTCCAGAGGAGGGTGGGGACAACCCAGATCTCAGTTGCGGGGTCCTGGAGGAAGGCCGGCTCCTGGCTCTAGACTGCAGCTCTCCCAGACCCTGGATCTGTGCCAAGGAGACCAAGTGATTTGGGTTTCACCTTGCCCAGCCTGTTGGGGGCCAAGGTGAGATGGGGGCAGCCTCTTCACCAACCCCAGGGACTGGGACTTCCAATGCACAGTGGCCCCATCTGAAGGGAAGATTGCTTGGGCCTCAGGTCAAATGCCAATTTGGGTCTCCAGCTTCTGGTGCTGATATGTTCCATCACTTGGGGACGGTTTCTAGCATGTCTGGTCCTCAGTTTACCCTTCATTAACATGGACTTTTCCCTTCTCTCCCTGACCAGCTTCATCCTACCACCCACTCTTCCAGACCCAGAGGAAGGAGCCAATCAACAACCACAGATGATTCCAGTCTGGGTTCCCTCTTGATCCCACTGACATGAGTCTTGCAAGTGTTGTGGCAAAGGGACTTGGCAGGGACTTTGGCATCATTGCTCAGGTTCCATTTCCAGGCAGCTGATGTACACTGACACAGGTGACCAGCCTGTGACAGTGCCATAGGAACATAAGTGGGCGGGCCTGGAGGAGGGCAGGGGAGCTTTCCTTCCCCACCCTGCAAGCTGGAGAGGCTGGTGGACAGTAAGCATCTGCTTGGAGGTCTAGCACGTGGGGCTGGCGGGGTCCCCAGCTAGCCACTGCCCCAGGTTGGGAGGAAGCAATGGGCCTCCTGGGTAAGTAAGGCCAAGAGAGCTCCCCAGCTTGGTAGGCGGACATTGCTGAGAAGTATGTTGAGGAAAGAACACGGAGAAATGTGGGCAGGTTGGGGACAGCTCTTCCAAGCTGTAGGGGACAACCACCTTGAAGACATGTTAGGGTTCAGTGAAGGCCTTTGGGCCAGTGGGAGAGCGAGAGGCTGGGCTGGAAGAGTGTGTAGTCTTGCAAGTCTGTCTACACCTCCCCAAACCACTGGAGTCTTAGTGCCACACGTGTGTGACGTGATCATGCTGTGCAAACCAGCAGTTTCTGCTTGAAGTCAGACCACGCAGGCAGAAAAGCCTTTCTTGAGCATTTGAACCAGTAACTGCTAGGGGCTGTCTGGGAGAAAGAGATGGACAGTCTTGAATGGGTGGAACCTCCCACCACTCTAGGGCAGTAACAACAAAAAGTGAGGTGGAAATTTCCCATTTGCTTGGGAAATTCTGGCAGCTCACTCAGTCAGAAAGAGGAAAGTTTAAAATAAAACCCAGTTCTGTGGGCTCCAAAGGCCACACTTCTGCTTCTCCAACACACTGTGGAGAAAACCAGGATGTCAGTGGCCACCAAGGGGGAGGAGATCCTGAGCTATCTAACACTCAGGATCACCCACTGCTTCTGTTATTTTTTGCTATAGGTGGCATTGGCTCAAGCCCTTGGATGGCTAAAAGTTCCAAAGTAACCACTCACTTGGCTTAAAGCATTACGCTGCCTCCTAGCGGGAGTCTTGGCACTTCTGCATATGTACCTCCTGCACGCAGCTGCTTGGGCTTCCTCATGCAATGGCAGCTCTAAGAAGACCTGTTCCCCAAGATGGGACAGAATGAGCTAGATCTCCTGAGGGCAGCAGTGGAAGTTTCTCAGGGTCCCATGTGCCATATTTTATTGGCCTAAATAAGAAACAAGGCCAGCCAACTTCAAGCAGTAGAGAAATGGACTCCAACTCTTGAAGAACTTTTGGCCTTACCTACCATCCTCTGGTATAAAAACAGAGCCTTGACTTGCTTTTTTTTTTTTTTTTTATCAGAAAGAATTTCCTCGCCCAAGTGTGTGGTATTTTTTCAATCTGGGTCTGTCATGGTTTGTTCTGTGTCTTGCTCCAAAATAAAAACTGTTCTGTGGCACTTTTGAGTCCAACCAGATAATTATTAATGTGCAGCTTTGCTTACAGAAAAGAAAAACCCCTTAAATATAAATGTACACACATGACACACACGCACACATGCACATTACAAACCCAAGGCAAGCTTCATGCTTTAATGGAAAACAGAATTATTTCCATTAGAAAAAGTAAAGACATTGACCATGGTCACTACTGTTTAATATTGTCCCAAGGATAAAAGTCAAGGCAGTTAGAAGGTAGAGTGAAATTTGAGCACCAATTGGAAAGTGTAAAGTGACCATTATTTGCAGGTGGCATGATTATCTGGAAAACTCAACACTATCAGAAAATAAGGACCAACAAGATAAATTAGGTTGTTGGGTCCAAAACTAATGCAAAGAAGTCATGGTAGTTCGCCTCACCTGCTTTTTCCTGTATGAATAGTATGTTACAAATATCCCTAATATATGGTGATAAAGCAAATCACAAATTTCCCTGGTGAGGACTTTTCCAGGGGTGCATGAGAAGGGTCTAGGAACCTTGATTAGTAGTGATTACATGAGTACATACAGTTATCAAAACTCGTCAGACAATGAAATGGGGTTGCGGCTCAGTGGTAGATGCTTGCCTAGCATGTGTGAGGCACTAGGTTCAATTCTTAGCACCGCATATAAATAAATAAGGTCTACTGACAACTAAAAAATATAAAAAGAAAAAAAACATCAGACTAAACTCAAAATGCATGTATTTTATATGTAATTTGTACTTCAAATAGGTTGATTTTAAAGCATATTGATAATAGAACTTCACTATAATTGTTTTTTCATACTTTTATGTTTATTTTATACTTTAAAAAATGTAATTCTGAAAAAAAATCTTAAAAATATAATTCTGGCTGGATGCAGTGGTGCACACTTGTAATCCCAGCAGCTTGGGAGGCTGAGATAGGAGGATCGTGGGTTCAAAGCCATCCTCAGCAACAGCAGGGTGGTAAGGAACTCAGTGAGACCCTGTCTCTAAATAAAATGCAAAATAGGGCTGGGGATGTGGCTCAGTGGTTGAGTGTCCCTGAGTTCAATCCCCAGTAGGCCTCCCCTAAACTATATATATAATTCCGCACCAAGCATGGTATTGCTTGCCTGTAATCCCAGCAACTCCAGAGGCTGAGGCAGGAGGATTACAAGTTTGAGGCCAGCCTCAAACTTGAGACCCTGACTCAGAATTCAAAAATTTTAAAATGGAATACAGATGTAGTCCAGTGGTAAAGCACCCCTAGATTCAATCCTCAGGACCACTAAGTGAATGAATAAGTAAATAATTCTAAAAAGGAATCTATGGTGCTGAAAAGGTCAAAAAAACTATGGCAGTTGTGATGGATCTTTTTTCCTATGCATGTCTTCTATGTCTCCTACCTTTTCATTTCTTATATTTATCTCTGATACATTCTGAGTATTTTCCTCAGATTTATTTATATGTGGTGCTGAGAATCAAACCCAGTGCCTCACACATGCTAGGCAAGCGCTCTACCACTGAGCTACAACCCCAGCCCTAATTTTTTATTTTCAATTTTGAGACAGGGTCTCACTAAGTTGCTCAAGTCAGCCTTGAACTTGTAATCCTCCTGCTTCAGCCTCCCAAGTAGTTGGAATTACGGGCGTGCACCACCACACTTGGCTGTGAGCTCAACTTTAGAGTGTTCTTACCATTCCATATGGATTTCTAGCCCAGTGGGTTATGAGAACACCCCTTCAGTGCAGGTTTGCATTGATTTACACTAAGGACTCCATGGATATCAGCAAGTCCAGGGCAATTTTGATGTTGATTTCTCAGGTTGGAAGTTTTGGGACCATGAAGTTCATCCAAGTTCCAATCCCCTGCCAAAGGAGACCCAGCCCTGGGGCGTCATATCAGTGGAAACTCTTCTATCCAAGCAGGGGTCAAGAAGCTTCCTCATGGGGGCTGGGGATGTGGCTCAAGCGGTAGCGCGCTCGCCTGGCATGAGTGTGGCCCGGGTTCGATCCTCAGCACCACATACAAACAAAGATGTTGTGTCCGCTGAAAACTATAAAAAAATAAGCTTCCTCGTCATCATCCTCGTGGGTGCCATTTTCTAGTCCCAACTTTCCCTGAGGAACACCCCTCAAAGTTCTGGGTTTAAATGGACTAATCTTGCGTTGGCCCAAGACTACAGCTCCCCTAATTCACTAAAGCTAGTGTTTCACCTGGTGAGGGTGCAAAAGAAAAAAAAAAGAAACCATTTCCTGTGCTTCCTTGTCTGATTTTCAGTGTTCTCCCCTTATTTCAGGGAGTTCTCTTTTGTATGAGCAAAGCTGCAAATGTTCAGGGAAGTTTAATTTTATCAGATATCTTTTCAGCATCTCTGAAAGTGATCATGTCCTTTTTCTTTTTTGATCTTTTAATACAATGGATTATAATGAAAGAGTTCCTAAAATTAAATCTTCCTTTAATTTCTGGAATAAATCTCTCTTGATTATGCTATTTAATCTGCCAAAATTTCATGGTAAAGTTTTGCTAAAATATTTTAAATGTATTTGATCTTAAGTTTTCTCTTTCTAATGCTCCTCTGTTAAAGTTTGATTGTAATATTATGCCAAATTCACTTGATAGAATCTAGGACTTCTTTTTTTTTTCTAAGATCTGGAGTGGTTTAAATGCCACTAGAATTTGTCAGGTCAAGCAGGGAAACGTGTGTCCCCAGGGTTATGGCAAAGAACTGAGGACCAACTTGAAGAGCCTTATGCTGACTGTAGACTATTCCTTTTTGAATTTTGCTGGCTGTCTCTCCCTGTTGAGATGACCCACATTCTCCCTTGAATGTATTATCTACTGTCTAAATAAACCTCTGTCTATGCCTTTAAAAAATGATTAATTAACTTTTGCTTTTAAAAAAATCCTTTTCTCCTATCCTGGTCTGTTGTGATTTAGAGAGATGGATTCTCCAAGTGGACTCAATTTGATCATAATAAAGGGAAGCAGGTGGGTCAGAGATAAGAGGAGGACAATTGCTAGCACAAGCAGAGAATGAAGGATACCTGAAGGTGTCATGCTTGTGACTTTGACAACAAAAGAAAGGACCACCGCTAAGGAATACAGCTTCTAGAGGCTGGAGAGGATGAAAAACAGGTTCTTTGCTGCAGCCTTCACACAGTGCTGCCAACACCTTGATCATAACTTGGGAAAACTGACTTTGGACTTTCTGGTGTCCCCAACAGTAAATTGTGTGTGTGTGTGTGTTTTAGTTTTTTTTTTTTTTTAAAGGGAGAGTGAGAGAGGGAGAGAGAGAGAATTTTTTAGTTATCAGCAGACACAACATCTTTGTTTGTATGTGGTGCTGAGGATCGAACCCGGGCCGCAYGCATGCCAGGCGAGCGCACTACCGCTCAAGCCACATCCCCAGCCGCGTGTGTGTTTAAGCCACTACATTTACACTCTTTTGTTACAGCAGCAACAGGACACCATTCAACTGAATCACAATTTTTAGAAGAATTTTTATAACTAGTTATCAATACAACTGGCTTCCTTTTTAATCCTACGTAATTTGCTTTATGCATTTTGAAGT